AGTTAGAGCCAGGAGGTAGCTCTGAGTGCCATGCGATCGGGATTTAGAGACTTCGCGCGCAATATAGTCACCCACATTGGGGGAGAAGTCAAGCAACTGAGGGACAACATGGGGAAGGCGCCATTGAAGGTGCCAAAGCAATAGCCGTTGTAGAGGGCGAGGTTATACGCGAGTCCCTCTATGTCTTCTCAGACCCTTGCCTATTCCCGATCAGCCAGGAGACTCAGTGTCCATAGACTTCATGGACACCCAAGTCAAAAGCAGACATGGCGAAAACCAAGTCATGGTCATAGTTGACCGTTTTAGTAAGTATGTCGTTTTTGTTCCCTTGCCTGCAGAGGCACGCATGAATTTAGTGATTCAGAAGTTCTTTGACTTTTGGGTTAGTGAGAATGGCATCCCATTGTCAATAGTTAGCGATAGAGACGGTCGTTTCACCAGCCAGAATTGGCAAGAACTCATGAGAGTCTACGGATCTAAGCTATTGATGTCGTCAAGCCGGCATCCAGAGACAAACGGTCAGACTGAACAGATGAACAAGATCCTACAGCAAGTTTTGCGCGGCCTAAAGGACTTATGCAGCTCATTGGGAGCGCCACAGGTGGATAGGTGCACACTATTGTTGTATGCGCTAGCTACCTTGGGCAACATCTCGTCCCTGTTAATCTGATCATTAGGAGTGCCACGAATGGTCTAATTTAGACCATTCGTGGCACTCCCAATGATCAGATTAACTGGGACGAGATGTTGCTCAAGGTAGCTAGCGCATGCAACAATAGTGTGCACCTATCCACCTGTGGCACTCCCAATGAGCTGCATAAGTCCTTCAGGCCATGCAGACCATTCGTAGGACTGAACCAGGATCAGATTCACATGCTACAGCCCGATACCGGGGAGTTTGCGATACAGCACGAGAAAGAACTAGCAACAGTTGTAGAGAACCTCAGGAAGGCCTAGCATAGAATGATAGAAGAGGCTAATAAGCATCGTCGGCCATTGCAGTTTCAGGTAGGCGACTTAGTCAAGGTCAAGGCTAAAGAGTTTGCACCTGAGGAAAACATCTCGCAGAAGCTACTGCCTGCATATAGAGGATCGTGGCCGGTTCTAGAAGTCAAGGGCGGAGAGGATGGACCTTCCTATACAATAAAGATTCCAGCGCACCTCCACACCTACCCGGTGTTCCATGCTTCAAAGTTGTTGTCGTGTGTCACAAGCCAACAGTTCCCTTCAAGAAGATCCATGATCCCTCCGGATATGGACGAAAGATATGACATTGACGGCATTGTAGGTGAAGATGTGTTTAGAACAGGAGGTAGAGGTCGTCCCCAGAAACAGTATAAGGTCTGGTTTGCTTATCAGGAACCGGAAGATGACCGCTGGTTTACTAGGACAGAACCTCTAGAAACAGCTCCCGACATAGTCAGAGCCTATGATCGTGATAAGAAGGGTAAAGGTCCTGCCTTGGACTGAAATATTCTCGGAGGACCTCGAATTTAGGACGGCAGGAGTGAAACGGTTTTCACCTTTTTCAGTAACAGACGCAGATCCCAGGGCTTAATCCCTAGACTTCACCCTACCCATGTACAGTATCTGTGTAGTCCCCGAGAGTTGAACCTGTGACCTGTGTATTCGTAGACAGTTGGTAGGTCTGTCGTAGGTCCGTAGGCAGCAGGGGTTCGATCTGTAGATCTATAGAGTAGAAGTCTTAGCGAGTTCCAGAAGTCTAGCTGTAGTCCTTCTAGAAGGTCGGCAAGTGGGCAAATGGTCAAGTGGCGAGTCAAGTGGTGGACTATAGTGCAGTGCAATCGCAGTACGACTACGGGAGGTTGGCAGCGAGTCCACAGTTAGTCAGCGGTAAGGTCCAGTCAATCCCAGTCCAGTCCAGCAAGTACCACGGGGGACTGTGAGCACAATGGGCCGATGGCAAAGGGCAGACCAACAAGTTTCCGAAGTATAAATCAAGAGGCAGCGCCCAGTCTTTCATTCATTTCCTGCGTGAGCCATGCGGAAGCGCTGTCACAGCGACTTGTGCAAGGAGGTCTGCAGTGAGCCCGGAGGACGAAGTGGGCGAGAGAGAAGGAGCTTAGTATAGCGATAGGGTAGAGGCAGCCATAGCTGCCATAGCTGTAGTTAGTGTGAAGTGTGTGTGCATATGTGCGAGTGTTCAGAGTTACGTGTGTGGGATATCCAGGGTGATCCGGTGTGTGTGAACAGTGAGTTGTTTGGGCGCTGAGTCGCCATAGCCAATTGAAAGTGAACTCGTATGTGGAAGCCATATCTCTGAGTTTTGAGTGGGCGCATGTCGCCAATTTGCTGTGCTGCTGTTTGCATGCATGAAAGGTGTGA